GTGATACATATGTTCCTTCAGCTATACTGGCCGTGGATGTGCTGACCTGGCAGTAATAGAGGCTCTCTCTCTCTCTCTCTCCCCCCTGGTGAGCTGACTGCAGGTATAGGACTGCTCTCTCTCTCTATCTCCTCCCTGGTGGCTGACTGCAGTATGGACTGCTCCTTCTCTCTATGTCTCCCCTGGTGGCTGACTGCGAGTATATTGTACTCTCTCTCGTTATCGGTCTCGGCCCGTGGGTGGTGCTGGATGCCAGGTATAGATCTCCTCTCCTCATCTCTATCTCCCCTGGTGGCGACTCAGTATAGGACTCTCTCTCTTATTCTCCCCTGTGGTCTGACTGGCAGGTTAATGTAGACTTGCGCTCTTATCTCCCCCTGGTGGCTGACTGCAGTAATTATTGGCTCTCTCTCTCGTCTATCTGTGTCTGCCCCTGTCTGACTTGCAGTATAGACTTCTCTCTCTCTATCTCCGCCTGGTGGTGACTGCAGGTGATATGACCTGCTCTTCTCTATTCTCCCCCTGGTGGCTGACTGTCAATGTTGGATTCTCTCTCTCTCTATCGTCCCCCTGGTGGCTGACTGCAGTTATGGACTCTCTCTCTCTATCTCCCCTGGTGATCTGAATGAAAGTATAGACTCGTCTCTCCTATAGTCGTGGTTCCCCCCAGTTTGGTGCTGACTTGCAGTATATGACTCTCTCCCTCGTCATCCTCCCCCCTGGTGGCTGAGCTGTATGGTATGAGGACTCTCTCTCTCGTATCTCTCCCCTGGTGGCTGTACTGCAGTATAGATCTGCTCTCTCTCTCTATCTCGTGTGGGCTGACTTGCAGTTATAGACTCTCTCTATCCCGCCGCCGTGAACCATGTTAATTACTAATTTGTAAGACTGATAATATATTATAGTAATGTATGTGTATATATTTATATAAATATATTTATATAAATATAATAAAATGTAAAACTAATGAGGGAAGTGAGACAGGGAGAAAAGTTTACTTTTGATGGTTTCAGATCTCCAGTCTGCCCCCAGCAATTCTAAAAGCTGCTGACATCACTCAGGTGTTTCTTCCTGTCCTTCCATCTCAGATAACACGGCGTCCATTCTGACTCAGCGTAGTGGTTTCCTGCAGCGGGATCAGCTGGTTCACTTCCTGCCGGTGGTGATTTCAGATGGCAGCAGTCCATCTCTCAGCAGCACCAACACACTGTCCATCACCGTCTGTGCCTGCGATGTCACTGGAAACCGCCACTCCTGCAGCCAGGGGCCATCGCCACTGCTGGGCCTCGGTACGGCCAGTGCAGTCCTCACCTGCATCTTCACTCTGCTCGGTGAGACCTGATCAGCTCAGGAAGTCGCCCCTTTAATCGTCACCTGAAAATACACTCTAGAAACAGGAAACAGCAAAGTACCTGCAGATACATAGCATTGCCTAGCAACCAGCATTTACACCCTCACAGCCACCTAGAATCACCATAGCAACCACCCACAATCAAGATAGCAACTACCTACAATCACCATAGCAACAAGGATGTAATTAACCATAGTGCTGTCCCCTGCTTTCTGTGTCCTCAGGTGTCATCATGGTAACGATTGCTGTCAGACGCAGGAGAAGGGAGCCTCTGATGATGGACGACGAGCGTGACATCCGTGAGAACATCGTTCGTTATGACGATGAAGGTGGAGGCGAGGAAGACACCGAGGCATTCGACATGTTTGCTCTGAGACACCTGAACAAAAGTAACCAGACCCACCGAGACCCCGACCTGAACCCACCAGGACTCCTCAGCAAAACCCTGGATTACAGGACCGACAAGAACCAGCTGTTCCAGGAATTCATCAGGGACAGACTGCAGGAGGCAGACCTGGACCTGACAGCGCCCCCCTATGACTCTCTGCAGACTTATGCGTTTGAGGGCAGCGGGTCGGCCGCGGAGTCCCTCAGCTCGTTAAACTCATTAGGGTCTGAGCAGAACTACGACTTTTTGAAAGAGTGGGGACCAAGGTTTAGGAAGCTTGCAGACCTCTATGGACACCATGAAGGAGGGGGGGTCGCCTGATAACCCTTAGACTGCAACAGAGGACAGGTGTGTGGATGCCGCAGGTACAGGGGACGTGGTTAAAGTAGGAACTTCCTGTTTTAATCTCTCTGTTCTCTGAACTGGATCTGGATCTGGATCAGGTGTGGATCAGGATCAGAAACCAATCTCTCATAATAAAGTTGTTCTTTATTCTAAAAACTGCTGTGTGGATCTCTTCACACTGTCTACCTTCAATACTATATATTGATTATTGATCCACTGTTTAAATACTGAGCCAAATGTTGCTGTCTCTCCTTGAACTCCCAGAATCGTTCGCTGTCTCCTCTCACATGATGTGTTTATGTGAGGTCAGAAAGTCGGAACAGTAATATGAAGGAAAAGAGACAAAACACAAAGTCAGCACCATCCAAGCTGTTCTGAAGACGTCCTGAAAACGTTCTGAAGCTGTTCTGAAGACGTTCTGAAGACATTCTGAAGCTGTTCTGAAAACGTTCTGAAGCTGTTCTGAAGATGCTCAGAAAAAGTTATGAAGCTGTTCTGAAGACGTTCTGAAGCTGTTCTGAAGATGCTCAGAAAAAGTTATGAAGCTGTTCTGAAAATGTTCTGAAGCTGTTTTGAAGATGTGAAAGAACTCTGAAGACATTCTGAAAACATTCTGAAGATGCTCTGAAGAGTCTGAAGATGCTCTGAATAAGTTTTGAAGATGCTGTGAAGATGCTGTGAAAGAACTCTGAAGACGTTCTGAAAACATTCTGAAAACGTTCTGAAGATGCTTTGAAGACGTTCTTAAGACGTTCTGAAGCTGTTCTGAAGCTGTTCTAAAACCATTCTGAAATCGTCGCCAAGTGCTTGCTCATGGTGGGAACTGTTGGGTCTCTATCTCTCAATAATGCTATAAGGAGTTTGGTCTAGACCT